CTGATGCAGTATACAGTGTGTATATATGTGCGTGTGGGTATGGGTGTGTAAATTTATATACACACACATGCAAAACAGTTCCTGGAAGAGAACTCTGAATGCTTTGCTAGCAAAACACTGTGGTGTGCAAACCTAGAACTCAATAGAAAAAAAGCCATTTATCTGAAGGCTGCATAGTGGAGAGAGTCTTCAGTTTACCTCATTCTTTGTAGCGGCCCTTGATTTTAACAGGTTTTTGTAATAGGTACAAATAATCCCATACCTTTCTAGGTGCAGTTTTAAGTTAAGCTAAAAACTCTTTGTAGGATTAATTTATTTGTATATGATAGTAGAAGGTTAAGATCATGCCATACTTTAAAGTTCAAACCTTATAATTTGAGGAATCTGACACTACTTAAATTATTAGCAACTGCTGTCTGTTGTATAGAGTTTCTCTTTTCTACTCGCTCAGTCTGTTACATTAATAATGCATTTTATATGTTCAAGTGTATAGCTTTACATAAATTCAAAGTTCACTAAGAAGTATCAATTCACAATATTTTGGCTATTTATAACACTACATCCTGCCACAAAAATTAAGTCAATTTATGTTCTTTTCATCTGTAAGCATTATTAATGCATCCCCTTTATCAAAACCCGGAGCAATACAATATTATCTTTACGTGCTATATGCCTTGTTTGCTAAAAGCTAACATTTTTGCATTTAGTTTAAAGGGCTGTACTAAACCCACAGCTTTAAGTTTTTCCTAAAAGGAGCATCGCAGCTATCCTTGAACCCACAAATAGTTTTAATCTACAGTATTTCTCTTCTCCACGTTTCCATGCCTTCATGTCAATGCTTAGTTGTTTTTCCAGGTGAACACTATAGATAATCTCCTGTTTGCAGTGTGGGGCAGGAGGGTCTTTCATGGCAATGGAGCTAAGCTTTTCTTCTTCATAGTGAAATGTCAACCCAGATGTCCCTATCAGAAGAGTTAGAGTCCTGTGTAGCCAGTGCTTCACACAAACAGAAATGAATGCATTGTTTTTTAAGAAGCTCGATTATAAAATATAGATTGATTACTTCAGAGATGGGACTACCTCCTCAGATATTCAAAGTATGAAATGGAGGAGCCTGATGTGTTTCACACTGGCCTATTTGACATGTGTATATCTTACTGTTAATTCAGCAGTATTTTATTGTGAAAGCAAACCCCAGTGTTTCAGCTCACTTCGCGTGTGGGGGTAAGAGGTGGGCCACGACCGTGGTGCGTTTCTTAAGTGTCCTGGGGGAATGTCACACTTTTCCTTCCCAGGGGAAAAGAAACCTTTGGGAAAATGTCTGAGGGAAACTATTCCCCATCCCCCCACCCCCAAGTATTATGATGTCTGGTCAGTTGTAATACCACTGGACATATTCTGTGGACATTTGGGATTGCAGTTCCCATTGTGATTTGACTGGTCCTCAGTTCAATGGGTCACTTTGAAGGAAAGCTTTGGCTGTCACCATTATACCACTGAGATAAAGTGTTAGCAAAGGAGAGTTCAAATTAATTTATGATATGACCAAGAGCTTTTCTCTTCCAAAAGATAAATTTTATTGTAAATAGTTTCTCAAAATATTTTTAACTGGATCATGAGCATGGGGAGAGAGAGTTTCTCAGCTGCTAAGAATTTCCCCACCGTTTACTTCTTTCACTTACAGTGGTATTGCATTATAAGGTTACAGAATTTAAGGCTTTGTTTGTATCTGTTACCCAAACCATGAAATTGTCTTTAATTTCATCATTGTCTTGGAGGTCTAGTGCATAAATGGCTGATAGGGGAATACTCTCTCTAGCCAGTCAGCACTGTAACCCAGGATTAAAACCATCCCATCAAGTAGTATGTGAAGCCAAATCTTTGTACTCTACCAGACCAAACATTGAAATGGACTCATTCATTCAAAATTCTATAAATCCTGTAAGTGAAAAGATAGACAACTATCAGCGGTTGCTTTTACAAAGGTCACTATATTAAGTACTATATAGTACAGTATTAATTTATAGCAGGAAATCATATCTTGTAAACTGTATATAAAACACTGTTTTATGGTGCAATCATTTGTCAAACTTGTCAGTTACATTGTTTTTAGTGTGTGCATTCTTCTCATACCTAAGAATATCACTGTAAAATCTGCTGAAAGCTATTTATAGGTTTTATTTGCACAAGATTTAATTTGTTTGACATTTTTGGAAGCTCCTATTGAACTTGCCTAAACATCTGTAACCATGAAAGTTCTTCAATTCATTAAAAGCAAACATTTCAGTATGATTATTTCCAAAGGTAATCCATGTTCTATGTTGTTAATGTGTGTATGTAATTTTTCGGATTCTTCCATTGCTTATAAACCTGTTTTGTTTTATCTTTGAAGGATAGCTCCCTTTTTTTTTTTTTTTTTTAATGTTTTAGATGACCAAAACACTTAATTGGTTTTTACCCTTTTGCCCAAAGCTGATGTTCTGTGAGTTCACTGTTTAATCTCTTAAGTTAAATAATGATAAACAATCTATTGATTTAGAGGAAAGGCCCTGAAAAACTAACTTTGGTTGTACTCTTAGCTGTTATTTTGCATCATGGGCTTCATGGGAAGAACATGTTGCATTTATTTTGTCTTTATTAAAAGACTACTAGCCACAAGTTACTCTGATTGTAGTAACTGTCTTATCAACCCACTTTGATCTCCTTTAAAAAATTAAACATATTCACAATTCAAAACAGTAAGCTGTCTTTCAGAGAGTTTTTGAAGGATAAAAATATATGAAGGAAAATAATCGTCTGTGTAGGTAGGATTCCCTACACAGGACTTTCTGGTTGTATCACCTCAAGAGATTTTAAAGTTTGTGATCAAGGTCTGTATATTATCCCAAACTTTATTAAGAATTGTTTTCTAATTGGTTATAACATTTTTCAATTAACAGTTTCAAAACAAATTGTTAATACAAACTGTATAAAATGAACATAATTTTCTTCACTTGTATTTTTGTTATTGAGCAAGTTTATCAAAATAAATTGTCTACTAAAGAAACTAAAAAGGCTTCTATTACTTTGAAATAAGCTTTGGTTTTAAAAATTGGTTTCTTGTAGAGGTTTCACATATTCACACTTCCATGCCTCTTAAATTGGTTTTGTTGTTAGCATTTTGCGGGGTTTCCTTCCCTCCCTACTCCCACTCCTAGCTCACCCCTGAGGAAGAGATGTCATTGTATTCCAGGACATGGATTAGGCCATATTTACCAATAAGAAGAGTCACTCAGCAATAAAAGACCACATACATGTGGTTGCCTCTTCTGCATCCTGTTTCCGGGGACTGGGAGAGAGAAACTGAGCCAAGGCACCCAAGGTCAGCCATCTTTCTCTTCCTTGCAAATATACCCAAGCCTGTTTGTCTTTGCTTCAGTTGTCTGTTTCTACTTTACTGTAGGCCAAAGGATCTTAAATGCTAAGGTTTTAATTTGGGTTCGGAGGAACAATGTAGAGGCCCTTGGTCTTTAGACTAGTCCATGTACTCCATCACAGCTTTACTGTAGCTCTCCGTGGAGGTATCACGACTAGCCCAGCCTAATAATAAAGTGACATTGTGTGTACTTGTTGCTGCTGTTTCTTTATATGGCCTCTTCAGGAGCTTTGTGGGAAGTTGAGGGAATAAGACAAAGTGGGATTTGAATATTCTTGGGTTCTTGGTCTTAAGGACATCTTCACAGGGTGACCAACCATCCCAGTTTGCCCAAAACAGCAATTTCCTGGGATGTGGGACTTTCAGTGCTAAAACTGAGAAAATTCCAGGCAAACCTCGATGAGTTGACCACCCTGTCTTTATACCATCCAAATCTTATCCTGATTTATAACACAGGTTGAAGGTGCTTGAAAGATTCTTCTCTATAAACATTAATGAATAGTCATTTGGAACTTGTAATGGTAGACTTATACTGAATTTCTAAGAGGGGGAAAATTTTTTTTTCCTTCTCTTTGATAATACCTTAACAAAAGGCAACAGAGTGGCTTTCAAAACAAATAACATGGGTTCAAAAATATCTTATTTTGACTTAGTCTTCTATGAACTCTATTCTAGCCACTGTATGAGAAGATTGTAGAAAAAACACCAAGACTAGAATACTCCGGGTTCCTTTTGTGCCAAGTCAACTCTTTTGAGTCACAGTTACCCAGCAACAAAATAAAGGTAGTTATTTATAAATGGAATTAAGATAGAAAGCATAATGCTGTATTTTTTAGAGTTTTAGTTCTCTCCCCGGTAGAAGAAAACCCTGGGATAATATTTTCAAGCATGTTCAAGGTTTCACAAATCAGCTCTGGTTCAAGTAACAGAAGAAGACCTCCCAAGATTAAATTTCAAGAAGAGATTTTCCATGAGACTCAAAATCCTGGCACTGAACGAAATGTAAAGATCATGTCTGGGGTTTCCATTTTCCAGATGAAGAAATCAAGGCCCCAGAAAGCCTTACTGACTTCCCCAAA